CTTAACGCGGGTTATATAACAACTCCTCCAGATCCTAGTGTAGTAAAGTCAAGTAAAACGAAATTTTGAACTATAAAAATCGAAACGAAATAGGATGTGTTTTAATCAAATTGGACAGGTTGCAGTATTATTAAATTCGACTGCGTAACTGGGTATCATCGTTAACGTATGCATGTCTCCCACAACACAAATTACTAAAATTCAAATCGTTGGCTGAAACGAAAATAATCTAGTACTGAAACATCTTCCAATGTAATTTGAACTGGCATAAGGTGTTCTACTAGATGCGACCATTCACGATTTCGTGCAGCACATGCTTGACTAGTTATCACATAGATTTGGTTGCGGTAGAGATGGGTATGTATTGGCATAATCCAATGTTGAAAGGAACCGAGGTCTTTCGGAGATAGACCTATATTTTAAGTTTCGTCAAAATCGAATAAAAATTGTCAGAACTCTCCCAAAAATGCGCAGTATAAATGCTGTGTGAATGTAAGTGAAGGAACTCACATGGCAGCTGAATGGAAATTAAACATATCCCACAGCAACTTGTTTTGATAGTTGTTGTTTGATGCTTGCAATATCTGATCAGTCTGTATCTTGTCCGCATGTTTGTCTTTGCACTTACTATTATGAATTATTCAGGATGACTATACTATATAGCTGAAATATGATAATTTACCCCTTGATAATGTGAAGATGAACTGAACTATATATATATATATAATATACTAAACACATGTTCTCCATTAATATCCAATATATTTAATGATAATAGGTTAATTGATTTGTTTATTTGATAAATTTCTTTATTGATATTCTTATTTCTATAATAATTAGTTCAATATATAATTAATATACACCATTTCAAATAAATAATGGCACTTTTATTGGTAATATTTCAATAACGGTAGCTAATATTTGAAACATTTATTGGTATTATTTCAATAACGGTAGTTGATATTTATTTACAAATGACGTTCAGCCACATTTCAAAGAACTGGTATACCAATTAATAATTTAATCAAATCGCCCACTTTGAGCATGGTTTCTGTATAAATACTAGCTTGTATTATGGATCTTTATCATACAGATCTTGTGTTTGAGCTTGATCATAGTAGACGAAGACAATTTATCATGAATCTTTCAGTAGCCCTTGCTGTATTTGCTCTCTTGAACCATTTTCGGAGATTTCATTACCCCAGAAACATGCTGCCCAGAATCCATATTTAACGCCTACGACACCCGATTCCATAATCTCATCATCCTGCCACTCCTCTATAATCTTATACTATTTTATCACCATCATATTTACCGTTATAGTGAATCCCCCAGTTAGTAGTACCACTAGTGAGTGGGTCGTGGGGCGACTCTTACACAACAGTTGGAATTGGCAGGCAGGTCTCGAGATTCTGTCCCAGATCTTATCTTTCGTTCACAAGAATTTGGTCCTATCAATGAAATGAAATGCTAGGGAATTGGCCAGTCCCAATTAATTAAAAGCTCAGATATATATTATACGTTGATATGTGATATTTTTTCGCGTACGATGCTCAATTCTGTTATGGCATCCTTCTTTCACTCCTCTGTGGTCTTATAATATCTGGGGCGGGGCGGGGCGGGGCGGGGCGGGGCGGGGGGGCGGGTTGGATGGCTGAATGGTTAGCGTGGGTTTTCTCCGGGTCCTCCGGTTTCCTCCCACTGCTAAAGACCCCTACGCGCAAGCGAATTATGTAAATAAAATTAAACCATACGTTAGTCCCGAAATGACCTAGTTTGTGTCGAGTGGACGTTAAACCCCATTTCTCTCTCTATCACTTATACTATGTCATCACTATGATATTCACGGTTAAAGTGAACCGCCCAGTTAGTACAACTAGTTCGTGGGTCGACAGACTGTACTACTGTACTGTCAACTCTCACAAATCAGGCGGAACTCATTGATTGCCATTGCCCCCCCCCCCAACAATGATCTCAAAAGCCAGGACATTGACTGAAAGTGTCCAACTGTTCTCCCCTCCCATCAGGTTACCCAGTGTTACAGCCACTGCCCTTAAGGTTCACAAAAAATTAATAACAAGCAACAACAATCATATATATTTTTTATGACAAACTTTATGACAACTTGAATAAAACTGCTTTCCGGTGAGATAACGATCGGCGAACAACTATATAGGCAATAGGATCTAGGTTCTACCAGGACGCCCAGTATTAGAGCCAGTGTTTTGTTGACATTCATTGCGGGTGGGATTATGGATGGCCCCTAGATTTGGAACCACCCCCATGCACAGCTTCCAGATCCGCTACTGGCCTTGAGTTTCTATGAAAGTATAACGTTGTATAGCCTAGCAAACTGTGATTGGCCCTTATTTTACCATATGTTGCTGAGTTAATGAAAAGCACTCCACGTGTCTTAGAAATCATATAGATAGCATCAAGAATTGGTAAATAATTTCTTCCACATTTTATGAGTATGATGAACTAATTAGTAAATAATTTCGTCTGCATTAGTTTTCGTGTCTTGCTTCACGCATCTTCCATGACATTTGGTCATTGAGGGTAGGGACCTCAAAAATATGCACATAACAAATATGTTAGTAAGTGATGAAGTAGTACAGAGTTATGAATATACGTAATGGGTTCGCGTCAACATGTATTAGGGTAGGGGATTCCCCGTAAATGGTATAAGGAACCACCTAACTCCATTAGGTATATCTTCAAATTACCATTTCATGATAAAACAGTTGTAGCATCATGAGTCTTCTGTCAGACGTGGAGAGCGGACGCGGGAAAACCGGTCGCCACATCCTACGTACGACCCATGCATCTTTTCTCACTACATATTTTAGTAGCTTTTTGATCGTCTAGAATTTGTCTCTGACTGTCTTTACTTCTGCTTCATGTTGTGTATTTACTTCTTACTGTTTTCTTAAGACGTCTGTCTTTCCGGGAATAACAATGCAACAGTTCGTTTTTACATTTTATATATCATAGCTGCTTACATATGGTACAATGCATCTATACTAATATTTGTGACTGTCGTTTGTCTGTCTGTTTGTCTGTCTGTCTGTCTGTTCGGGGTTGGCGGCTACACTAGGTCTGCCCCGAGTCTGAAATTTGGGGTACAGGGGTAGCTCGGACCGGGGAGTAACATAGGCCAGGTGGCGGTAGTCTACCACTTCCGGTTTCGGATTTATGACCCCCGAGCGAAGCCGGGTATCCTGCTAGTAATAGAATAAAGTCATTCTATCAAAGCTCATCCAGCCAGACTCGCTGGGCTATTAACACGTATTTCAAGTTTCATCACAATCGGACCAAAATTATGACCTCTAGAGGGTCCACAACCTTGAAATACCATATTTGTACACCAATCGCGTACGAGGAGCGGCCATTTTGTCCGACAGTTTTGGTCGTATTTTCACGAAATTCGAACTCAAGCACTATTACAGTGTAATGGTGATATATTCAAAGGTTTTATTAAATCGCATAATAATTGTGACCTCTAGAGGGACCACAAGCTAGAAACGCGATTTTTCGTACAATCGGGTGCCATAATTCTAGAAGTTACAATCTGATATGCGCAAATATCGAAAGGAACCAAGTTTCATCAAAATCAGATGAAAATTGTGGCCTCTAGAGTGTCCACAAGCTAAAAACATGATTTTTCGTACAGACCTATATTTTAAGTTTCGTCAAAATCGAATAAAAATTGTGACCTGTAGAGTGGGCGGACGGACGGACAGGGGCGACGACAATATACGTCCACGTGAATATCTGGGCGTACAAAAACATCATGGCCAGTTGTAATCTGCCAAGCAATCGGTCACATTTTCGATTATTTCAGTTTGAAGTCAAAACTTAAGTCCAACAAAATATGACTAAAACTGCACATTAATTTACTCGTTTTTGAGCATATCTTGATCATTTTCAATGCCAAAAGGCATACTTATACAGATACAGAACTCTCCCAAAAATGCGCAGCATAAATGCTGTGTGAATGCGAGTGAAGGAACTCACATGGCAGCTGAATGAAAATTAAACATATCCCACAGCAACCGGCTGTTGAGTATTTTACAAGTAGAAGAGGTGCAAGAGTTCTCGATCTGGGTAGTTAGGAGACGAACACACAGGTTGAAAATTTCGGGGACAGATTTTGGTCCACTAATCATTAGTGTTTATACTATCTCACATGCATACACACCCACACCCAGTCACACTCTCTTCGAAAAGGGGGTGCGCTTTAAAACAAACGCTCTGTCATTGCTTGGCGTTGTTTGGACCTATTTACTTGTTTTGATAGTTGTTGTTTGATGCTTGCAATATCTGATCAGTCTGTATCTTGTCCGCATGTTTGTCTTTGCACTTACTATTATGAATAATTAAGCATGAATATATTATATAGCTGAAATATGATAATTTACCCCTTGATAATGTGGAGGGAGAGAGAGGGAAAGAAAACCAAAGAGGTTGGACAGGCGACCCTACTCCTTGTCACGTACAATCGGGGAATCGAAACCACGCCAGTTGACCCAGTGACAGACTTTATGATACAGTACGCACGAGCTAACCATTCGGTCATCCAACTTCCTTGTTTAAGTGGAACTGAGTCACACTATATATATATATATATATATATATAATATACTAAACACGTTTCCCCATTAATACCCAATATATTTAATGATAATAGGTTAATTGATTTGTTTACTTTGATAAATTTCTTTATTGATATTCTTATTTTTAATATATAATTAATATACAACACTTCAAATAAATAATGACACTTTTATCGGTAATATCTCAATAATGGTAGCTAATATTTGGTACTTTTATTGATATTATCTCAATAACGGTAGTTAATATCTATCTACAAATGGAGTTCCGCCACATTTCAAAGAATTTGTACACTAATTAATAATTTAATTAAATCGCCCACTTTGAGCAGAGTTTCTGTATAAATACTAGCTTGTATGATGGATCTTTATCATACAGATCTTGTGTTCAGAGATTGTTCATAGTACACGAAGAAAATTTATCATGAATCTCTCAGTAGCCGTTGCTGTATTTGTCGTTCTTGCCTTGGTCTTGCAGTCAGAAGCGGGCAAATTTGGAAAGAGAGTTTTCACTTCTGGATCGCGACCACATAATTACAGAAGGAAGCATGTGGAAGAATCTGAAAGTAGTAAGTTAGGATGTTACAATTTATTTTATTGGTAAACTTACATATTCTTTGTTTTTTTGATCGCTGAAACGACTATGGAATATCACAGTGTCCTTTTTATTTAATTCAAATTTTAAACTTTTTACCCGGGACACCGAAGGCATCAAAATTCATTTTGGTTTATTCTTCAGCGGAGGCCAACATTTTACAGACCATACAATGATAAATAGTTGACATGCCAGAGGCATGAAATGTGATATGTCGATAGGAATCAGAGTTTAACTAATGTTTGTACCCCTTTAGGTCCTAAAGTATGTTTCTACTGATATTTAGAAATAGTTTTGAATACAATTTTTGAGACCCCCCCCCCACCCAGCAAATTATTGAGCTTATTGACTAAAGGATGATATTTATTTGGTTCCTCGTGAAACTTTTCAAGGTGCATTAACGGGGTTTTCGCTCCATAGAGCCACCAACGGTACTTCGGTGCGTAAAACGCTGTCTCAGTAACCAAGAGGTTCGGGGTTCGATCCTCGTGTTTCAGGTGTGAATTCAGTCTTGCTTCTCAGGTGTGAATTCAGTCTTGCTTCCACTTGTCAGTGGAACAAGGCATTTGGAATTTAGAATTAGCAGTTGGAATTCGATGGAGATTGGGAAGAGACACTCGAATCCCGCCCATAGTAGATTTCCTTATAGCACAGCAGGTCCATATTATCCCGGTTTGAGGTAGAAACTAGGACATTAAACCCAATCTCTCCTCGACATCCTTCCACGACTCCGTCTCCGTCACCGTCTATTATACATGCCGACGCTTAAAACAGGTTGGTGGTTTTCAACACGAGCTAACGTAGAACAGATACGGTAAATTGGATAAATATACATGTTTTGTTTTGTTTCAGAAGCGGGCAAATTTGGATGGAGAGTTTTCACTTATGGATCGCGACCACATGGTTGCAGAAAGAAGCATGTGGAAGAATCTGAAAGTAGTAAGTTAGGATGTTACAATTTATTTTATTGGTAAACTTACATATTCTTTGTTTTTTTGATCGCTGAAACGACTATGGAATATCACAGTGTCCTTTTTATTTAATTCAAATTTTAAACTTTTTACCCGGGACACCGAAGGCATCAAAATTCATTTTGGTTTATTCTTCAGCGGAGGCCAACATTTTACAGACCATACAATGATAAATAGTTGACATGCCAGAGGCATGAAATGTGATATGTCGATAGGAATCAGAGTTTAACTAATGTTTGTACCCCCTTTAGGTCCCAAAGTATGTTTCTACTGATATTTAGAAATAGTTTTGAATACAATTTTTGAGACCCCCCCCCCCCAGCAAATTATTGAGCTTATGGACTAAAGGATGATATTTATTTGGTTCCTCGTGAAACTTTTCAAGGTGCATTAACGGGGTTTTCGCTCCATAGAGCCACCAACGGTACTTCGGTACGTAAAACGCTGTCTCAGTAACCAAGAGGTTCGGGGTTCGATCCTCGTGTTTCAGGTGTGAATTCAGTCTAGCTTCTCAGGTGTGAATTCAGTCTTGCTTCCACTTGTCAGTGGAGCAAGGCATTTGGAATTTAGAATTAGCAGTTGGAATTCGATGGAGATTGGGAAGAGACACTCGAATCCCGCCCATAGTATATTTCCTTATAGCACAGCATGTCCATATTATCCCGGTTTGAGGTAGAAACTAGGACATTAAACCCAATCTCACCCCGACATCCTTCCACGACTCCGTCTCCGTCACCGTCTATTATACATGCCGACGCTTAAAACAGGTTGGTGGTTTTCAACACGAGCTAACGTAGAACAGATACGGTAAATTGGATAAATATACATGTTTTGTTTTGTTTTTAGCTGTTAAAAGTCACGGATACTTTAATATTACCATGGAGACATTATACAATATTGTTCATTAATATATTTCCAGTAAATATTACCATTGAGACATTATAACATATTGTACATTAAATATATTTCCAGTAAATGAAGAACCTGTTGTAGATGTTACAATACAGCCTCTTGAAGTTACAGAAGCTCCTATAGAAGTTACAGAAGCTCCTATAGAAGTTACAGAATCTCCTGTAGAAGTTACAGAAGTTCCTGTAGAAGTTACAGAAGTTCCTGTAGAAGTTACAGAAGCTCCTGTAGAAGTTACAGAAGCTCCTGTAGAAGTTACAGAAGCTCCTACAGAAGTTACAGAAGCTCCTACAACAGCAAAAACGGTAATCCGCGTCGATCCAAGTAAGTGTACATTTCATTCCGTTGTATATAATTACATTTTGCAAATTTCTATGTTAATTAATTTGCTTTCAGTTCTTCTTGTATACTTAAAATTAACCTCGGTTTCCTCTTTTCCATTCGCAGTTCGCACTTTTCAGAGGTAACTATTATGGGACTCACTTATCTCGGGAGGCAGCGATAAGTGTGTTCGAACCGACCCAGAAGTTACCAATCTGAGGCAGCACGGGGACTCAGTGACAAGGCGTTGGTTCACTGCCAGGAGGTCTGGAGTTATTGGCAGAGAACGTGTCTTAATGATTTTTCTGCGTTGCTCAACCTTGTCAGTGATGTGAGACGCACGAAAACCGGGGTCTCATGTACATAACTCATGTCGGCTGGTATGCGACCAAAACTAGACGGAAACGCCACTGTCCAAGCACGATTACCCTCATAACACACTGCATGGCGTTTGCTATTCTTCATCAAACCGTTGGCGCAGAGGTTACTCTTTTTACTGGGCTTCATAAGAACATCATGTCCACGGAATAGTACGACAAATCAGGAAGATTGGTCAAAATCCATTCCTTATATTTTTTCGAACCCTTCCCTTTCAATTAAAAAGATCTTGAAACATTTCAGTCTGTGATGGTTTGGTAAGCTGTGGATTTAATGAACAAATGTTTGTAGATTGCATAGACAAAATCCATTCCTTATCTTTCAAACCAATTTATTTGGATGAAATCTTCTTAAAATATTCCGTTCCCCCTTTTCAGTGATGCAGGACAGGGGGCCTGACAAGGACAGCTGTCTAGTCATTCGGATGAGACGAAAAACCGAGGTCTCGTGTACACATTGGCGTGCACGTAAAAGATCCCATGACAGTTGGAATTCGATATAAGAGTAGGCCGTAGTGCCGCTGTCTGGGCAAAATTCCCCTCATAGCACACTGTATGGCGTATGCCCGTCTTCATTAGCCCAGTTCGGAGCAAAACAGTAGGATGTTAAACTCCATTTCATTTCATTTCATTTCTTAAAATATTCCAAACTTCCCTTTAAGTCTGTGATGGTTTTATGGGTACTTGTCGTGACACCTGTCAGGCTGGTGAAACAGAATTTGGTGCCTGTGAGGCCGGTGATAGTTGCTGTGTTCCAGGTAAATATTTCGCTGAATAAGATTAAACCATGTTGAAATAAACACAACAGTTCTAACGACAAGAGAATCTTTGTTGAAACGTAGCTTTAATAGAATTACAGTAATTGTTATCCATAGAGAGAGAGAGAGAGGGGTCATTTCGGGACTAACATATGGTTTAATTTTATTTCAATAATTCGCTTGCGCGTAGGGGTCTTTAGCAGTAGGAGGAAACCGGAGGACCCGGAGAAAACCCACGAGGTTTGACAGGCGACCCTACTTCTTGTCACGTACAACCGGGGATTGTTATTCATAGAACTGTTGTGTTTATTTTTAATGTGTTCAATCAGTGAGTGGGGCGTTGGTTCGCTGACCTTGAGACTCCGTGTTCGATCCCGGTGTTGGCCGAGAAAGTTAATCGGGATTATCCGGCCTTGTCCCCCATTGTCGGTGATGCAGGAGAGAGGGCCTGGCAGGGGACAACGTATAGTTTTTCGGGTGGGAAATTAATTGAAGGATTGGCTGCCATTTGAACTACCTCTGGGAAGTCCGCATTAAATTACATGATTGGCTGTCAATGGTCCTTTAATTGTTGACCCGTGGAGGGTATACTCACATAATTCACCCATGTATCTTTATATTTTCAGAAATGTGAATAACTGAATGAATCGTACATCGGAAGCATGCAAAAAATCAAGAAATCTAAAGACCTTTAACTCCAGAACACTAAATTTATTCTTTTTGTGTGTGGGTGATATTAGAAGGGAGTCTGTGCAACATCAACCAATTCCCCCCCCCCCCCGAATCACATATTCCAAACTAGAATTATTATAAACAAAAAAAACACAGTTTTGTAACATGTCTTTGTAAAATTCCTCGCAGTTTCTGCGATCTCAATAAAGTTTTCTTGAACAAAGAAGTTTTATTTTTTAAGGTACTGCTCCACAATTCAACAGCACGGATTGTCCCAATCTATTCGGTGAGAGATGTTTGGGTTTTAACGACCACTCAACACAAGCTAAGTCATTTCAGGACTGACACATTGTACAATTTTACTTCAAGTATTTGATTGTGCGTAGTGGCTTTAGCAGTGGGAGGAATCCGGAAGACCCGGAGAAAACCCACGAGGTTAAGCAGATAACCTCACTCCTTGTCACGTACAAGTCTGTGATCGAAGCAACGCCAATTGACTAAATGGGGTTTAACGTCCACTCCACACAAACTAGGTCATTTCGGGACTAACATATGGACAAATGTATTTCAATAATTCCCTTGCGGGTCTGCGTCTTTGGCAGTGGGAGCAAACCGGAGGACTCGGAGAAAACCTACGAGGTTGGACAGGCGACACTACTCCTTGTCACGTACAACCGAAGAATCGAAAGCACGCTAGTTATCTCAATGACAGACCTTATGATACAGCGCAATCCGGTGTTCTAGATTATAGACTTGTCTAAATAATAATTTATATAAGAGAGAGAGAGAGAGAGAGAGAGAGAGAGAGAGAGAGAAAGAGAGAGAGAGAGATGGGTTTAACGTCCACTTGACACAAACTAGGTCATTTCGGGATTAATATATGGTTTAATTTTCTTTTATTTCAATAATTCGCTTGCGCGTAGGGGTCTTTAGCAGTGGGAGGGAACCGGAGGGCACGAAGAAAACCCACGAGGTTGGACAGGCGACAATACTCCATGTCACGTACAACCGGGGATTCGAAATCACGCCAGTTGACACAAAGAGAGGCCTTATGATACAACGCGTACGAGCTTACCATTCGGCCATCCTTCCCCCCCCCCCCCTCTCCAGAAAAAAGAACTGCAATATGACGACTGTTCTCTTGCATAATGCTTCTTTAATTCAAGATCATGAACTCTTACGGAAATGGAATTACAAGAGAAAAGGGTCAATATAAAAAACGGCCCATCGTGATAGTAACCATAAAACGTTACTACTACAATGCCCATCTGAGATAGAGAGAGAGGGGGCGGGGGAGAGATTGAGATGGGTTTTAAGGTCCACTCGACACAAACTAGATAACTCGGGACTAACATGTGGTTCAATTTAGTTTCATTCATTCGCTTGTGCGTAAGGTCTTACTATTTAGCAGTCGGAGGAAATCGGAGAAACCGCGGAAAACAAACGAGGTTGGACAGGCGACTAGGCACAAGCGGGGAATCGAAACCATGCCATTTGACTCGAGGACAGACCGTATGAAGGAACACGCACGCGTTAACCATTAGGCCACCCAACCCTTCCGGTATATTAGACACACTAAAATGTAATTAGTAAGACGGAAACTAAATAGAAAGTTTTGAAAGCACCAGTATTTCCAATCCTTCAGATAACAACAACAGATCTCTAAATACGACAGGTGGTTTCATTGGCCCGCTAATAAACAAAGGGAATTAACTCTTAATCTACAGAACAAAGGGGCTCGTAAAACAGATCACATGGGTTTTAGGATTACAGTATTTAACTCAGTCCCAATCAATATGCCTGAGATTAGCATTAAAGTATTAAGTCACTTCTATTAAAGATATCTTATTTATAAAACTGAACTTGTCCAAATACAATAATAGCGCATGCAGCGGTTCAGTTAGTACCCATAACAAATACCCATTACATGCTGTAATAATTGCGGATCTTAAAGGAGCTAAACATGTATTCTTTGGCACCTAGAAATTAAATGGACACAAATGTGTCGCAACGCATATAATAACGTAATATGAATGTATATAAACTGATTTACATTCAATCGTGTCTGTCTTTACTGTGATTTCTAATCAGTTATGTTCAGCGAAATAGTCGAAGAGTCTAACTTGAATGGCAGTATTCTGTTGTGGGGGGGGGGGGTGTTTAGCCTCGCTCATCGAGTCGCTTCATTACAAATGGTGCTCGAAAGCATTCGGGCAAGTAAATCGTGTGCCAAATTTGAAATGTTCATTTTGTCTTAAATATGGGATATCAGAAGCCCATCTTTTTACAGTAAGATAACAACATTTAAATTGACCAATAAGTCGTGTTTGCAATGTCGAAGACTGTGGATGATATTGAGTTAAAGACTTGCTTCCTTTAATAAGGAATATAGTGCTGTATTTTACAAACGTGTCGGCTTATATGGAATTGCATATGATACAATAAAACCGTATACTTGTGTATCTATAATTAAATCCTGTAATTTGAAACCATAAATCTGTGGACATATATCTGTATGATAGATATGGGGAGTATATATAATAGAATACATCCAAAGATAAAACCACATTACGCAATAATTAATTTGATATTTGTATAGATACTGATACTCTACGTTCTAGATCAATGATCAAATGTAATCGAGAGAGAGAGAGAGAGAGAGAGAGAGAGAGAGAGAGGTTTAACGTCCACTCGAAACAAACTAAGTCATTTCGAGACTAACATTTTATTCTAATAATTCGCTTTGTGTGTAGGGGTCTTTAGCAGTGCTAGGAAACTGAAGGATCCAGAGAAAACCCACGAGGTTGGACAGACGACCCTAATCCTTGTCACGTACAACCGGGGAATCGAAACCACGCCAGTTGACTCAATGACAGACCTTATGGTTCCACGCTTAAGCACTAATCTTTCGGCCATCCACTCCCCCACACTCTCATGATTCGAAGTGTTTTTTTTCTGGTGTTATCAATGTATTTTTCAATATTTTAATGATATCAATATTGTCATAATAAAATTATTGAAAATTGTAAATATTTAAGACGGGTTAAAGGGTTTGTTATTTATTACACGGGAGTTCAAAGGGTGGTCGAAGGACAATTTAGAAGTTGTGTTTGTGGTTATGGGAGGGTAAGGGCGCCCAGAGTTCGATTTGGGTATTGTATATGTGATTATAGGCGGGCTAGATATTTATAAGACAGTCAGAAAAAGGGTAGTTTACGGAGCAAAGGGGGCGGTCCATTTACCCGGGTTCTATTATATGGGTGACCCTGAAAGATTAAATGGGGGCGCGGGTGTTGTAGAATGGACGCTGTTGCCATAAATGGTGACAGGTGTGGAACACGAGGCATGGTATACACAGTCTTTCTATAACACCCGATACCCCTTGAGTTTGAGCAGTTCCCATGTTTAACCAATCTGTGTTCTAAGGAAAGCAGAAATGAAATGAAATGGGGTTTAAAGTCCTACTGTTCTTCTCCGTCTGGGCTAATGAAGACGAGCATACGCCATACAGTGTGCTATGACGGTAATTTTGCCCGGACGGTAATTTATTTAGTGACTATAATTGTGTGAAACTGATTTGAGGCTTGGCATATATATAAATATTGTGGCGTAATTGTCGAGATATATGGAGATATTTATTTATGGTGGGTCACCCTATCATTAGAATATATTCATTACCACGAGTTGACTTCGGCAAAGGTCCAGGGAAATCTAAATGTACCCTTTCCATGGGAAAACCGGACTGATATGACACTAAACCTGAACGGGCATGAAAAGTAGCCTTTTTACAAGTACTACAAACCCTACAGTTTTGAAAATAAGCTGCCACATCCTTGGACATACAATACAAGAAATAATTCATTCCAATTTTCTGTTGAGTTCTCTTTAGACCTTGGTGTCCTGCTGAAGGGAGATCATGACACAAAGCGATAATTTCTTGTATACAATTTTTAGGCAGCATTAACTGAGATGACCCATCCCCGGGATCTTTTCTGAACAAAATTCCCTTGTCATTTAAGTACCAGCGGCTGCCAGGCAGGATACGCCCACATTTTCGAGAGATGGATAGAGAACAAGCTAAAAAGAAAGTGATTCTTACAATCAAGGGCCATAATTCAGGAAATTATAATTCGGGATGCGCAAATATCGACAGGAACCGAGATCTTTGGGTTATAAACTTACATTTCAAGTTTCAACAAAATCGGATAAAAATTGTGACCTCTATAGGGTCCACAACCTTGATATACCATATTTTTACGCCATTTGAGAACGAAGCCGTTTTTAGGGTGTAACGGTGATATAATAATACGTTTTTTTAAAGGACAATATTGGTGTCAGTCATTATTACATATGTGATAGAACTGGTTAAATACATTCCAAATATAATTTTAACACAGAGATCATTGCTACAGGAGACTTGTAACAACCACGTGAAGAAACGGGAAGTGACGCCAAACATGACAAACACGAGTTGTCCTTCTATATAACATACTGAAGTAACGAGCGGTAACAGGCAAACGATCGAATTTCATTTCACTGATAATTCCGTTGAAGTTAAAAAGTTATTATATGGGACGGTGAGAGGGTATCGCACAATTCAAAAATAGAATTGGCTGTCACTAGATAAGGGACATGAGAAAAAGTAGAAAAATCCCGTGCATTTCCGTTTTTATTCATTCTGTTCTTAATAAAAACATGGTAATGTACGGACTTTTTCTAATTTGTTCGTTATCTTTTATCTACTGACAGACAATTCTTTTTTTGAATTGTCAGATATCCCCTCATCGTCTCATAACAACTTTTTATCTTCAACGGAATTATCAGTGAAATGATATTCGATCGTTTGTCTGTTACCGCTCGTTACTTCAGTCAGTATTTAACGAGCTCTATCACATATTTTATAATGACTGACACCAATATTGTCCTTTAAAATCGGATAAAAATTATGACCTCTATAGGGTCCACAAGCTAAAAACGCGATTTTTCGTACAATCAGGGGCCATAATTCAGGAAGTTACGGTCCGATATGCGCGATTATCGAAAAGATCCGAGATCTTTGGGTGATAAACTTACATTTCAAGTTTCAACAAAATCGGAAAAAAATTGTGACCTTTATAGTGTCCACAACCTTGATATACCATATTTTT